ATTCGGGGTGCGACCAGAGTCACGGAACGAATTAAGTTCGTAACCCGAGGTTCCACTGTATCTTAATATCTTTCTTCCTATTTTTTTTCTTATTGCACTTTTAGCTTTTTCTGTTACTTCTCTCTTTTCTTTTTCTCCCTTCTAATTTGGTTTATATTACTTCTTATTGTTTTTTAAATTTTTAATAAAATGTGTGTGTGTGTGTGTGTAGGATATCCAGGCCAAACAGACCTCCTATTCACATAAGATTTCCACACAAGCCAGCCAAGAACCCCTGAGAGAAGGCGGCCAAATCTGAGAGAGGTCCCTTGGTCAGTGCGAGCAAAGCAAGACACCAGGAGGAGCAACAAGGTCTTCTCTTCCAGGTGAACAGTGACATTGGTGTCCCTGGCCCAAGGGCAGGTCAGGAGGAGCACAGCTGTTTCAGGATCTGGATGATGTTCCTGGGAGCCTCTGGATTGCAAGTCTGAGAGCCCTGGAGAGACCGCTGGGCATGAAAGCAGAGATCATGGGCAAACACCGGTTCCACCTGGGGGGCAAAGCAGAAAGGGAGCGAGGGTGTTCCAGAAGCGTCCTCCAGCTTTCCCAAGGTAGGAGAGGGGCCCAAAAGTCAGAAGAACCTGCTTCCTCCACCACGTCTGGGTCTGGTTCTCTAAAAGATACTTGACTGTTGCCCAGCATGAAGAGTCCATTAGGAGGGCCGGGTGGGATGTCAAGAAGTAGGGCAAGAGAAGGAAGAGACCCAAATCAAGAAGGTTAAGCAGAAGAATGGGACTAGTCCTCATGAATTCTGCTTGCCAAGTCTGGTTTTTCCCTTTTGCCAAGGAGGTACAATATGGCCATGACTGCATGAGGCAGAAGGATGCAGCTGCACCAGAGCAGGAGACCTCTGTCCTGACACACAACAGCTCTGTTCCCACAATACTTTAACCCTCTCAGCCCGTAAGGCCACCTGAACTCTTTACTAGGGGTCCTGGAAGCATGCAATCACCCAACAGGGTAAAACCCTATCATTTTGGGAGTACAGAATCCCCTCCATGAAATGCTTGGTGGCCCATGAGCTCTGCCCCAGAAGAGTAATTGCAAGACTCCGTGACATCACCAGCTCTCTGCCCATTGGCCGGGCAGGCACTAGTAGCAGCCAATCGTTGCTTGAGAAATATATTCCCTGCAGGCCAGCCGGGGCAGCGAGTTCTGCAATGGAGAGAGGCCTGTTTTTTCAGCCCTTCTTTCTCTCCAGCTCTATCCGGGAGGACCAGAGAAGCAAAAATGGGTCAATAGACTTGGGTTTAGAAGTTTCCTCAACACAACCAATTGGATGGAGCTAACTGAACCTTGGATGTTCAGGATCTGGGCATTAACTGACCATCAACTGATCCTCTTTGGTGTTTCTGCAACACATTAACCCTCTATTGACCCAGTCAAGTCAGGAAAAAGACATGTAATGGGCGCAACTGTGAGCACTGCCCTCTGTTGTCGCCAGAATATTTACCTGGGCGGTGATGAACCTGTGGAGTTTCTGGCTGGGGAGAGGAGGAAACTCTTCTCCAAAGCAGAGCTGGATCTGGTACTGAGGCAGCGGCTCTCCGTGGCTGAGAAAGTCTCGTAACTCTGGGAGGAACACGGAAGACGTTAAGAATTTTCTTGATGAAAAAACTGAACATTAACTACATGGAGTTGAGAAGCAGAGGACAGAGAGTCTTACAGAAGGAACCCAATAATGACTCATTGGTTGCATTCGCACAACACACTTGACCGGGTCACTGAATTAATCCATTTTTTTGGATTTACACAACCAATTGAATCACAAGCTAACCGAACAAGCTAAAGTCACATATCATGTGACTATATCTAACCCCTCATGGATTAAGACTAGCCAGCTTAGAGGGTTGTACAAACACAGCTGCTGTCTTTAATGAACTTGGTCCAGTGGGTTATGTGAACAGGGCCAATGATGGTGCTTAATCTGTAGAGGGCACACATGTAGATAGGTGTGCACATGCCTGTTAATTTAGCGTGCCCTTCTAATGCATATCTCAGGGCCATTTGCAGTATTTAAATGCCATAAAATATTAAGTGTTTAGAAGAAAGAAAAGACCCAGCTAAAAACCATTGTGGAAATATAAAATCAGAATTACAAGAGAGGCAAGGGGAGACAGGACACCTTCTAATGGCTACACGTGCCCGAAGTAAATGACAGCCCAAGACCTTGATGGAAGACCACCCGGGTCAAGCTAAGCTGAGAGCTCATGAATTTAGGGGCAGCCACTGAGAAGGCCCCGTCTCTCCTTCCGGCAAACCCGTTTCTGCCACTATGGGGTCATCAAGAACTCTCCCTGTAGGTCTCAGGGACCAGGCCAACTGGCCCATCAGCAGCGGATCAGTGGAACTACCTGCCCAGGAAGACCAAACGGGGGTCGGCGGGGGAGCGAGACCGGGGCTGTTTTAAACTTCCAGTCCTCCCCGAGGGACTCTGAAATCCGACACAAGCACATCTGGACTCACGCTGGAGGAAGAGCTGTGTGTCCAAGAGCCGATAGGTCTTCTCCCTCTCCAGTTTGTTGGGCTGGTCCCTGTGGGGCGCCAGTGGCCCCTTCCAGTACACCCTGCCTTGGCACTGGCGCTTCATGAAGACCCCTTCCGGGGCTACCCAAAGGAGCACCCCACGATGCAAGTGGAGGAGCAGCCTCTCCAAGATCCGGGTGGCCTGGGCCCCCTGCTTCTTGCTGCCCAGGACGTGCGGAGAGGGGAACTGGATTTCCTCCATGCCGCTGGGACCGTACAGGTCCTTGTTTTCTGCGACCACCGGCCGGGAGGTGATCCGGCAGCCCTCCGCTGTGCTGGTGGTCACCTCCTTCACCAGCACGTCGCAGTAGTACAGGCAGATGCGAAGGCAGCAGTCTGGAACGGGGAAAGGCGAGCGAGAATCAGAAGGTGCCCTCTCGACGTGGTTATGGAGTCTGCAAAGCACACGGTTTCTTTGGCTTTAAAGAAGAAAACCAGCCGCTCTTCCTTGCTGCATCATAACAAGAGCACAGATCAATGGAGGGGCACGGCGTGTCAAAAAGGTCAAGATGGCGGCTGCCATTGAAGGATCCAAGCCCTGCCCCTTTTTAGCATGCCACAATGGATGTAAGAAGGGGTGGGGCTTTTGACATGCACTGTTCGCTCATGGGTGCCATCCTGACTTTTTTGACCCCATCTGGAGAGGCCCCTGGAGTTGTGGGAGTTGATGGGCATTAACGGGCTTTTCCCTGGAGTCTCCATGTGAAATATTTAAACCAAAACATATAGTTTTAAAATAGTTTTATACAACATATATACCTTTTGAAAACATACGTACATACTGATCTAATGTTTTTAGTTAACCCTGGAGAAGGTCTGTTGCTGTGGTTACTAACAGTTGACACTGATTTGATGGCAATCAATCAATCAGTGTTTATATCATTGCACTTTAGCTGTTTTTATTGTAAACGGCTTCAACTACTTTGGGTCAATTGCAATTCCTGGCTCTTGGCGTTTCTGTGTCCTGTGTTTTTTCCGGCAACAACACGAAGGCGTTTGCCCCAACCCTTCTTCTGGGACGTTTCCCAGCTTCTCAGTCACATCCCCGGTGCCTCCCATCCTAGTGCTAACCAACCCCAACCCAGCTTAGTTTTTACAAGCTTCAGCCAAGATCAGCAAGGTGCTGAAGAGGACACGGTGCAGAAACGCTTGAAATCAATGCCTTCCTTCCCCTCGTACCTGAGTTGACGCTTTTGCTCGGGACAAACTGTGACCTGGGACTAACGAAGCCCCAGTTTGGATGCTGGTAGACCTGTGATGGATCCCAGGTATAGAAAAAGCCTTTCACCTGGCACCCTGGGGAGCAGAGCACAACAACAAGAACAGCGGCTTCATTTATCTACTCACTGCATCCACACGAAACATTTACCCACCTGGCTGAATCCTTTCTGACGGGTTCGTAGAAGACACTGAAGCCTCAGCTAACCCCAGGAGCAGAGTTCACACAATCCATGATACTTCATACAGAGTTTTGCATTAATCCAGCTTTGTATGTTGTACAAAGGCATCTGCCAAGTCTTTACCTGGCTTGATTAAGTGTATGACGTGTACACAGCCAGTACGAAGTCCTGACTTAGTCTCACCGATTCCAAGAGGTTCCTGTTTTTATTCTACTTGGAAGTTCCTTTCTCAATAATCTTAGTTTATGTAGCCTTTGACAGTGCCAGGAGACTGACAGATTGCTCCCTCCCCAAAGGTCACATATTATTCATGCGCAGACTTGATTTATATCCTGCTCAACTGCCTGGGCTCAGAGCAATTCTGCAGCTGCAGAGGCAAGGATAGCAAGGAACGAGGGGAAAGAGATGCCTTCATCTATCTTGAAGCTTCCTTCTCCTCGGGGATGACTAAGGGATGAATCCAAAGGCCTTTGAGATAGACTAAAAGGAAAGGAAAGAGCTACAGATTTGGCAGGATTCTCCTGCTGTTTTATAGCTGCACATATCTAAAGGGTTGTAGCTCTCCAGGCAACCCTAAACTCTGCTTCTCTTTTTCATCCAGACACAACCGCGCTGGTGCTACACCAAGGCTCTGGATGGAGAATCAACCCAAGGGTGGTTCAAACAGGACGGAGGCTCCAGCGCTGGTGGGGGGGGGGCAGGGGAGCCCCACAAGAAGAGACCTGCCTCAGTCTGGCCTTCGTCACTGATCCATCTATCATCAGCAGGGCCCATTCTGCCTGGGTCTTTTGGCTGGTCTGGGGCTGCCACCTCACCTCTGCTCCCAACGCAAGAGATGCACCTGGTTTCAGTGATCCAGACCCCCTCCACAAAACGCTCGGGTAGGAGGCAATATGGCGCTGGTTGGGACCATACCATGCAATAAAGCATCTTCCTCCCCTTAGGATCTTCCCAAGGCCTTGAGAAGAATAAAACATACGGAGGGCCAGGGGACGTTGATAAAACCATGAGAAAATACTAGGAGGCGAGCACCAGAGCTGGAAAGTAGAGTCAGTTTATAAACCCCCTTACTGTAATTCTCTAGAAAGCAACGATGATTCTGGAAGGCCCTCTTTGTTAGTGCATTATTGTTTTTGTAGTTCCACTCCATTACCTCCTACAAATCCACCCCAGATCAGACCTTACTGAGCATCAGATGCTGTTCTATCCAATCATATCCAATCGATTACTCGGCTGAATCCAATCAAATGTATATTCTCATTTGTATATCTCTATATAATGGGGTTGCACCCCTCTCTTTTCAGTTTTGCTCCTTCTGCCTCCGGTACCGTCATGAACTAGCTGTGCTTCCACAAAATCAAAACCCCGGTCTGCAATTTAAAACAAATTCTTGGGGAAATTAGGGAGACATTTATGCTACTCTCACTGCCGCGTATGTAACAGTCCCTTCTGGAACAACGAGGGACACGGGGCCGGCGCAGGAGCATGACAACTGCCCTCTGGGATGGGGCCCCCACCAAGGGCAAGACCCACCCCACGTTGGATACTTCATGAAAGATGAATCTGAGCTCTGAGGCTTATCATGCCATGTCATCAAAATGGCACTCCGCAGTTTTTTAACCTGGGGTGCAGAGACACCCTTGTTTCCACCTTACCCTGGAGGTCTGCACTGCTCAGCTTCTGGGAGACGTGAGGGCCCTCTGCGTTATCGTTCCTCCTCTCATCCGACTCTGAAGATGGTTTGGCCTGGGAAGAAAGGAAATAAAGTGGGTGAAACTGGGAAGAAGGCACCTGTGCATTATCCGGAGTTTGGAACTATGTGTAGCGTGGAACAGTGCAGCAAGGAAGCAGGTGCGTCACCAATAAGGACACAGGCCAAAGATCAATCTCATGGCCTCGGTCAAAATAGGGAAGACGGCCGACACGGCACCGTGATCTGAGCTCCGACCCTTCTGTGCGTGTGCATTGTGCCCAATGCCAGGTCGGCCATCTTCCCTGTGTTGAACCCCTTGTACATGACTAAGGGATGAATCCAAAGGCCTTTGAGATAGACTAAAAGGAAAGGAACCATGCAAAGCATGGAGTATGGGAGCTGAAGTGCCCACATCTGGAGGGCAACAGATTAGGAAAAGTTAGAAAACAAGGCAGGGATGCAGGAATGTACAGCCCTCCTAATGTTGCTGAATTACAGCTGCCAGGATCGCTCACCCTGGCCTGCCCTGGCGACAGATGTTGCTGGTTAGAAGAGGGAGCCCTGCGACAGGGTTTGACAGTAACGGCATGGATCCAATTAGCACACATATTTTTATTAAAATATAAAGTGTTCTTGTGTGTGAAGGGCCCTGTTTCTTGGCTATATTAACATCTATGGCAATAGTTTTACTTGACGACCATAAATTATTTATTTATATTAATTGTTTTATGTTTTTATGACTGTATGCTGCCCAGAGTCACTTGTTGAGATGGGTGGCTGTAGAAATCAAACAAACAAACGAATGAATAAAAACACACGGAGTGGATAGGGAGATTAACCGAAGCTATTTTCATCTTTAGGGAAGCTGAATTTCAAAAGAAATTGAGAGTGAAGACTTCCTGTTTGAGGCAGAAAGCAACACCAGGCCGGGGTACGTGGTTAGGACACCAAAGGTCCTTCCTGATTCCTCTAACTGCTATCTATGTTTTAAAACCATGCAATTAACACCTGTGAATTTTAACTTTGTATTTATGATGCAAATAGTTTTTAATGTATTTTAAGATTGTTTGCCAACCTGAGTTACTTGTTGAGAAGAAAGAAAGAAAGAAAGAAAGAAAGAAAGAAAGAAAGAAAGAAAGAAGGAAGGAAGGAAGGAAGGAAGGAAG